AATTTTTTGCTTTAAATTAGCGCTAATTTATTTACATAAAAATAAATTAAAAGCCGCAAATTAATTGGTGATTAGGGTATATCACAGTTATCTTCTGCTTTAGCTAAATAAACTCATTTATTATCTTTGACACTCTTACTTAAGTAAATATTTTATTTAGTATTTTATTAATTTTTTTTTTTCTTTATTTTTAAGAAAATATATTTAAAAATAAAATTAAAAAGCAAATAATATTTTATTTATGAATTTATAATTATCACTCACTCATTTATTCATTTATTTAATAGCTTTTTATTTATTTATTCTTGTCTTTTTTTTATGGGTTAATATTCTGATACTACTTTTTCAATTTATCAAATATTTTTTCTTATTAAACATCAAATTTATCTGAACTTAAAAGGGAGAATAAAATGAGTGAAAAAGGTGTTGAAGACTTAAGTTAAGCTTTAACTAAGTGTGTTAATCTCTCAAATTTGACACTAGACCTAAGGTAGAAATATTTTTTTTAAGATTTATTTTATTATTTATTTGTTGTATTATGTTTGAAAGAAAATTAATTAGTTTGTAATATAATTTACAATATATTTAATTATTTTCAATTTATCTTTTCCCAACTCAAAAATTTGTTTTATATTAATTTTATTCTTAAAATCATTTTTAAATATTTGTTAAAATTTACTCATATTTATATAAATTTTTTAATCAATACAAATAAATATATTTTAAATTCATTAAAAGGGAGAATAATATTAATGATTTCAGTGTATCAGAATTAGGTAATGCTTTAGAAAAGTGTAACAAACTGTAAAATTTGGCACTCTTTCTTGGGTAAATTATTTCTTCCTTGTTTATTATTCTTGTAATTAGTAATGATAAGAATTTTTTTAGTTTGTAAAAAGAAAGAGTTCTACCTACATACATCTGTTATGTATGCTTTTTAAAGTGCCAAAAATAAAAAATAATGAAAGCTATTAAAGAAACACCTTAAAGTCATATCATCATAGAAGTATTTTTTAAAAAGCATCTAAAAATAAAAAAACTAAAAATAATATTAATGTTAAATTTAAATTTAGTTAAATTAAATTATCTATAATTAATAAAAAATTTTTAATTATAAAAATTGACATAAATATGCAAAAATTTATTTTATTCTAGTGAGTTAGTATTCTCATTACCCTTTATATCAAATCTAATGTTCCTACTATAATTTAAAGTACACATTTAAAATAAAAATATTAAGATTTAATAATGAATGTTAGTTATCCTAACTTTTTTGTGATTTCTCTTACTAACTAAAAGCAAATTTATAAATTAATATAATTAATTTGTTCTTTTTATCCACTTATTATTAATTAAATTTCCATTAATTGCTATTGAATATTTTTGAAAGAAAAAAAATAAATGATATAATAGATTGAATATTACAACAAATTATAAGAAGTAATTTTTTATTTTTTAAATTAAAATACTTTAAATTTATTTTAAATAATATAAAAAGTTTTTAAACTCTTCATTATAATCTCATTAGGTTCTCCATATTGATCTGGGGTATATTTAATTTATAAATATTATTCATTTTTTTCTAATAGAAATTACAACCCATATTCCAACATTTTATTTACTAATGTTTTTTTAGTTATTTTAACCTAACTTTCATTGAAAATTTTTAAAATTCATAATCCATTTTTTATTTAATACACTTTTTCCTTCTAAAACTTTTACTTGACATAAGGAGTTTACTAGTTTTAAATTTTATTATTTATACTTATAAAATTCAATTTAAACAATATAACTAACTCTTTTAATTTATTTATTAGTTTTTTATTTAATTTCCTTTTCTTATTCTTTTTTAAAATATTTGTGTTTTTTCTTCTTCTATCTTTCTTAATTTAACTCATTTTTATATTTTCAATATTTGCTTTTATCATTTATTATATTAATTCGTTTATTATTTCATACGTTTTATTTTTATCAATATTTATAAAGTCGAAATTAAATTAGTGCAATTGGTGCGTAAGGCTTATGTTCTGCTTTAGAAAAATGCACTAATCTCTCAAATTTGACACTTATTTTTGGGTAAATTCAGTTTATTTGTTTAGGATTCGGATATTTATACTTAATAATTAAACTTAAAACAATACAACTCTTTTAAATTGTTTTTAGCTTTTTATTTGATTTACTTTTCTTTTTCTTTTTTATTTTATTTGTGTTTATTTTTCTTCTAATTTCTTAATTTAATTCATTTTTATATTTTCAACATTATTAATTCATTTCTTATTTAATGTTTTTACTTCATTATTTCCTTCTAAATAACAAACTAATTAATTATATTTTTTTTTTCAAAATATTTAAAAAGTCGAAATTAAATTCGTGATTAAATTGCATCAAGATTAGGTTCTGCTTTAGCAAATTGTACTAATCTCTCAAATTTGATACTTTATCTTAAGTAAATTCAGTTTATTTGTTTTGGATTGTGATATTTTTACTTATAAAATTCAATTTAAAACGATATAGCTCTTTTAATTTGTTTATTTATTAGCT